GGAGGAGAAGGATAATAATTAATTAGTTAGTAGAATATAAAAGAAAATGTGGGATTAACTGCAACTAGGGAGGAGCGGATGATTAATTGTAGAGAGATGATCAAGTCTTCTACACACACACACACACACATATATATATATATATATATATATATATATATATATATATATATATATATATATATATATATATATATATATATATATATATATATATATATATATATAGTTACATGTATATTCTCTGTGGTAAGTTCGATGAAAATTGAATTTGATCCGATGTAAATTGCATTACAATATATTACATTATTATGCGGAGGGGAGACGTGAGGCGTGACAAACATTCATTAATGATAATACACACAGCCATAACTATCTGAATAATAATAATAATAATAATAATAATAATAATACTAATAATAATAATAACAATAATAATAATAATAATAATAATAATAATAATAATATAAATAATAATAATAATAATAATAATAATAATAATAATAATAGTAATAATAATAGTAATAATAATAATAATAATAATAATAATAATAATAATAACAATAATAATAATAATAATAATAATAATAATAATAATAATAATAAGAATAATAACAATACTAATAATAATAATAATAATAATAATAATAATAATAATAATAATAACACCAATAATAATCACCGTCTCAATTCACCAATAACCCGTAAGTCATCTGTTACTCCCCCACACAGTGTCAACAAACATGTGTACCACCGTTTTACACCCACCGCCTCTCACTACTTCATCACATAAACTTTATCTCCGTCATCGCTTAACCAATTCTCTCCGTCAGAATCTTTATTACGAAACAGGAAAACTTTCTTGTGAAGTTCAAACACCTGAAGGTTTTTATCCTATCCTAATCTAACCTAACTTAACCTATTCGAATTCATCCTAGCCAAGTTACCTAACCTTATCGGAGGTCGGTATGTTAATCTAATGCAACCTTACCTTAACTAACTTAGCCTAATCTAACCAAAACTAACGTACCCCTAACCTAAATTAACCTAACCAAACTTAATCTATCCTATTCTAACCTTATCGGAGGTCCCTAATCTAACCTAACTTAATCTTACTTTGCTTAATCTAACGTTACCGGAGGTCCATGTTAAGACCTCATTATAGAAAGCAAACATTTGAGTGTGTTCAAGAAAGAAAAATCATGATGGAGATGTCGTGTTTATAATTCGTTCCTGTGACCAATCATATGACGTTTCTCTTTGTTGTATCAAGATTCAGAGGATATATACATATATATTTTTGACCTATTTCTGGCGAGTCCTCATTTTGACTTCTCCCTTACACTAACTTCACCCTGATTCCTTCTTCACTCTAACTTCACCCTGATTCCTCCCTCACTCTAACTTCACCCTGATTCCTCCCTCACTTTAACTTCAACCTGATTCCTTCATTATATAACCTAACCTGATTCACTCCCTCCTCTAACTTCCCTGATCCCTCCCCTCCACTTTAGCTACCCTGATTCCTCCCTCCTCCTACTTCACCCCTGATTCCTCCTCACTCTACTTCACCCTGATTCCTTCTTCACTCTAACTTCACCCTGATTCCTCCCTCACTCTAACTTCACCCTGATTCCTCCCTCACTTTAACTTCAACCTGATTCCTTCTTCACTCTAACTTCACCCTGATTCCTCCCTCACTTTAACTTCACCCTGATTTCTACCTCACAATAAATTCAGTCTAGCTTCATCACGTTACTATGATCTTCCCTTTTATCTCTTCTCTCACCATCTTCCTACTCCTCCTCCTTTTCCTCTCCTCCTCACCTTACTCCTCTTACCATACTTTATTCTTTATCTTATACACTAATAAAATTTAATGATATAAAATGCTTAGTATTCATCAAGAGCCTTATACAGCACTCAAAAGGTCCATATAATATTAGTATTAAATGTAAATAAATAAATTACTTCACTTTCACCACTTTCACGTCACTTTCACCATCAATTTTGCCATCACTTTCACCATCAATTTTGCCATCACTTTCACCATCACTTTCACCGTTACTTTCACCATCACTTTCACCATCAATTTTCACCATCTCTCACATTCTTCAGCACCCTTTCTCCTCGCTTCCCTCCCAAGTTTCTCCCCAAACCTCTCCTCAAGACAGTCTCACACAGCCTAGGTATTAAAGCTAACCTCATTGGTATTAGTTAGTATCTTCAATGCTTTAACTACACTGTCTTCTAGTTAATCGTCTACACTGACTGTCTTAACTACACTGTCTTCTCGTTAATCATCTGCACTGACTCTTAACTGCCTTCTCGTTAACCATCTCGTCAAACACTCGTTAGGTCATCAGTTCTGTGGTGTTGTGTGTTTATGTTCCTCAGTCAGTCTAGAGATTTTTTTTCGCGAGTAGTTTCCACGTAGAGAGAAATCAATTTTTTCCTTTGTCTATTTTCCTGTTTATAAATCAACCATAAGACTCTACTATGAAAGAAAAATCTGGTCTTTTATCTTTACTAAAAATCTGAGGAATTAGGTCTTAAACAAAAGCCAACGAAACAACCCGCTTAAATGGAAACAAAATCTGGTTCTAACTTCTTTTTTTTCCAGGATGTGGTGGCGGGTCTCGGGCACTGACACGAGGTTCCCGAGTGACACGGAGGACAACACAATCACCATTCCCAGATTCCCAGCTAACATATGGCGCCGTCAAGTTCCCATTCCCATTCCCGGCTCATCCGCGGCGCTATCCATTTGCATTTCGACTCACCTCAGATGCATTTCTTGTCCTTTTTTTTTATTTATTTTTTTTTCAGAAAGTTTCACCTGCAGCATCGCCTCCTCTGGCAGTAGTGCGGGTTGTTTTTCTGCCTCTGCCGCCACTGCTGCGTTCGTGGTCAGGTTCTATACGATCTTAACTTTTACAAATACTTTAAAAAAAAATAGTACTTTGTGGAGTTGAGAACACTATACTGCCTTCCTTTGTAAACTTTCACGGAATACAAAACAGGTGAACAGCTCCCTGCCTGCATCCCCGTGTTTAAATGTATGTTATGTTGTACCTGAAACACCCGTGACGTCACCAATAACACCTGTATCTCTCCTGCACCATCAATTAACCTTTGCACTAATAACAGAAATTAAAAAATGCTCCTGCTCAAAGTCACACAACATCAACACACTGTAATATTCGTGTAAATATTTTCATTGGTCGTGTCATGACTATTAATACTGTTACACATCAAAGGCCGTATTTACCTCGTTACTGGCGGTGTGTTACGGGCATCATGTCAACTATACCCATATAAGAAAGCGGGTCCTACAGAGCTGAGGGCCAGTTAAGGAGACACCGTGGCCAACACTTCACTGTAGAGTCAAGTGCTCATTGGTACTCATTACAGCTGGGTGAACTGAAGATGCCCCGGGCTCCAACCAGTGACCTTTAGTACTGGAAGCGAGCCCTATATCCACTCGGCTGCCGCACCTCATTGCTACTCGGATCTTTACAAAAATTTACAGGACGACTCACCCTCCACTTCCCCCCTCACCTCATACTGTGGGTTCAACATTCCAGACAACATCCTGATAAACAAGAAGGTTATGTTAATGTTGAAGGAATAGTTGTTGTGTCCGTCGCTCTGAAGGTAACATCTCTACTCTTAACCCGACGCTTCCAGTCACTTTAAAAGTTTACTACCAGAACGATTTCCTTCCCAACCAAAACATTTCCATTCATTCACGATCAAGTCCTCGTTGATAAATTACTTATAGTTTTGAAAAAAATCACTAATTTAACTCAAAATTATAACAACCATTAGAGTAATTTGGATTATTTTCCAGAGAGTTGCCATCCACTACAAATTCCTCCAGCTACTACACTGTTAAACCCGAGACAGAAAAAGCTTTAATGACTCTGAACAGTTTCAAGCATCAGAGCAACTTTCCGAGGTCCCACATGAGCGCTTTTGTGCCCCCCCACCCCCCAGCCATTAAATCTTTTTGTAGTGCTGAAAAAAGACGTCCTTTACCCCAGTACCTCGTTGGTCAGTCTCCTGCTGTAACACTGGATGGTTCTGTTACTCTCTTCAGCATAGAGTTCACAACACCTACAGCACTTCTTCAGGATTATCTCTCTATCCAGAGTTTACGGCTTCTCTTGTTAGGAACAGATGACATGTATCGCGTGTAGGGTCAACAGTTAGGAATAGTTTTGGTTGTCCTGGGCGGTTTCTTTCATCTAATATCTATAGAAAACTTTCCACATTTATCCGGATACAATTACTGAAGAATCTGAGATACTTTGTGTTACTCACGAGCACTCCTAACATTGTGTTTGTTTTATAATTCATGGTGAAGTTCTTGATAGCTTAGAGCAATTCGCAGATTCTCAAGATAAATAATAATTATTGAAGACTATAGAAAGGTTCCAAACACCCTTGTAGAAATGGGATTGTGTCTGTAGCTACGGAAACCCTCTACCATTTTCCATCCACTGAAGAAAAAAACCCTCTTCTTTTGGGCCTAAGAGACGTCTCTGTCCCTCCCAAACTGAACAACATAAACACCTCTAAGATTTCTTGCCATCGGATAACATTACCAAGCTCTGGAAACCTCCCTAACTTTATCCAGATATTGAAACACATTATACTTGTACCTAAGACCTCTCTAACCTTTCCAGCTGGTCAAGGATTTAATTTAGTCGTGGAAACAGCTCTTCGTTTTTTTCCAGTTAGTGAGGTGTTCCCATACTCCCAATACCTTTCTAACCCTTCCAGCCATCAAGGGTCTTCTTAAAGGTCCTGGAAATCTTTTTACCCTTTCTTGCAGCCATTGAGCCATTGAGATACATTTCCTTGGGCCTAAAACACCTCCCTCTAACCTTTCCTTCCAGTCGTCGTGGAGGGGGGAGGGGGGTGAGTGGTGACCTTTTGTAGTCTTAATAATCCTCCTTTTTTTCCCTTTCCATGCCTGCCTTTGGGGTACTCACCTGCGATGCGACCGTAGCGCTGGAACATACGCTCTACATCAGTCTTCGTACACTGGAAGGTGTTGAGGTTGCCCACGAAGGTCCTGGAATTGATGGCTTGTGGATCCTGAGAATTGGTCTGGTTCCCCACCTTACTCATCTCGCACTCACCAGTCACTCATCAACCCAGCTACGGTGAGTCAACCCGCGTCTGACTCAAAACAACGACTCTGCTTAATCAATGACTGAAAGATTTGAGGATTGCTTCCAGACACCGCTGTCCGGATTTTCAGGCACCGTCTTCAGGATTTCCAGATTTGAGTTCGTCACCTAATCTGAAATGGGAAAAAAAACACCAATAGTCTAAAAAAATCGTATGCAAAAATCTAAAAGAAAACAAAAAGTTAGATGTTCAAAATAGGAGAACAAAAAAACACATCAATCTATCCACAAAAAAAACTACTCAACCAAAACAAAAAATTCTCGTTTCAAACAAACCTAAATTTACAAAAAAAGAGGTAGAAAAACATTATCACAACCGCAGAAAAAAAAACTTACTTTATGACGTCAACTAAAACAAAAAAATCTAATCCCGCAGACAAAACAAAAGACTATCGGTTAATAATCACAGGACGAAGTGTGAACATGACAACGACCCCCTCGCTCATCCTGGTAAACGCAGTCACGAATGATTGGGAACGGAATAACACGAACACGACGCCCCCCCCCCACCCCAAAAAAAAACCAAGAGACTAACATGCTCTATACCATCATCATAACACTTACAGTTATCATTAAAGTTTATAATGAGACATCCAGCCACGTGCTAACGCATTAAAACGCACTAATACGCGCATTTGTATTTTTTCTCCTACGAGCCGAGTGAGCTGGCCAGGCAGGTGGTCCCAATTGAGTCGTGGTTTTTTTTCTCTCTCTGGTAAATGACTGTTTTCTGTGACTGTTATTTCACTGTAATTTACTGGGGGTGTTACTGTAAATAACTGGTCTGTGACTGTTATTTCACAGTAATTTACTGGTGTGTGACAGTTATTTAATTGCTAAATATATTACATATGACCGGAAGTTAGTGGTTTGTGAATGTTATTTATTTATAATTTACTGAGGTGTGATTGTAAATAACTGGTTTGTGACTGTTATTTCACTGTCAATTGTTGGTATATAACTGTTAAGAGCAAATTAAGACGAGCTTTTTACAAATTTCTGTCATATGACTGTTTATTAACTGTCAGTCATATATCAAATGACTGATCCCATGACTGTATTCTCCATTTTATCACGTCTTTACCTAACCTAACCTAACTGTGGTATGAGGAGATTATGACTGTAATGACTGTGATTTTTTACAGTTTTTAGTGTAATCTAAGGCTAATCTTTAACTGTTAGATGACTGTTGAATATCACCAGTCAACAATAAACTTTCACGCTTATCACCAGACACTCACCAGGCAACATTTCGCAATTATCGCTATTACTTTTACCAGTCTTCAGTTAACAATAAGCAGTGTTGTTCTACAGTTACCACTCAACAGTTATCTTCAAATGCTAAATACCAACAACACTTTAACAGTCAACAATTACGACTGAAATATCACGGTACAGTCACCGTTTCTTAACCAGTCAACAATACACTCAATATAACTTGGCTACTGTGACTTAAATAACCAGTTAGTATAAACAGTCACCAGTTAATTTTCACCACCTGGAAGTTCCATAGTAGTCACCGCTTACACAATCAACAGTCACTTTTAACCTACAACAGACAGTCACCATTTCCAGTCTATACCTCCAGTCGATCAGGATCTCCACACTATTCACCAGTCAACAGTCATTACGTTGTCAATCAGTACTTTACCACCACTCACAAGTATACAAAGAACATTTACGACCAACAGTCAATTTTACCAGTCATTTACACAAACCATTTTCTACCACTTAAGACACCAACACACCCACTTACGACCATCAGTCACTCACCACTTACTTACAAACCCTTAAACGACTCTCTTACGCCACTTACGAACAACACACACACACTCACTCACCACTTAACAGTTACGACCGCCAGTCACTATCACTAAGCACTCCACCGGCACTCAAAAGCAACACGCCAGTCACCACTTAATGGCTCAGGTAAGTGTCATAATGTTAACGCCAATCGCCATCTAAGTGCCATTAAAACACAAACAACTGCGTCACTCCCTCAATTGCGTGCCCCCGGTAGTTAGGGAGGGGGGGAGGGGCACAATAACACTTACTCTACAACCATTACCTCAAACGACTATATTGATGTTTAGGATGGTAGTGAGGTGCCGGAGAGAGAGAGAGAGAGAGAGAGAGAGGTATAGGGAGGAATAAAGAGGATGAAGAGGTGAAGAAAAATAGTAAAAAAAATGGGGGGGAAGGAGGAGATGGGGAGGAGTGAAGGGAAGGAGAAGGGATGATGAAGGGAGTCTCGGAAGTGGACATAAGGAAGGGGTGAATATAGGGGGAGAAGGGGGGAGGAAGAGGCCATGACGTCATCAAAGTGTATCAAAGAGAAAACAACGTTAAGCAATATATATAATAAACTATGTAAATATAAACTACAGCTGATACCACCAAATTATACCAATGATCCTAATTTTACTTAAGGTAGATCAAAGTTTTTATTTTTTAAGGTCACATCACAAACCTGAAGGACATATAAACACATTTTTTTGCCTCAGTATTATTTGATGTTTATTTATTTTTTCTTAATTAACCAAAGAAATATTACCCAAGTCAATCTATAACGAGAAGGAATTTTATTATACCATGACCTGCAACACAGATTCAATAAAAGGACGATTTATACCATGACCTGCAACACAGATTCAATAAAAGGACGATTTATACCATGACCTGCAACACAGATTCAATAAAAGGACGATTTATACCATGACCTGCAACACAGATTCAATAAAAGGACGATTTATACCATGACCTGCAACACAGATTCAATAAAAGGACGATTTATACCGCGACCTACCTTACAAGATTCAATAAAAGACGATTTATGCATGACCTGCAACACAGATTCAATAAAGGACGATTTTCTGACCTGCAACACAGATTCAATAAAAGGACGATTTATACCATGACCTGCAATACAAATTCAATAAAAGGACGATTTATACCATGACCTGCAACACAGATTCAATAAAAGGACGATTTATACCATGACCTGCAATACAGATTCAATGAAGGGACGATTTATACCATGACCTGCAACACAGATTCAATAAAAGGACGATTTATACCATGACCTGCAACACAGATTCAATGAAGGGACGATTTATACCATGACCTGCAACACAGATTCAATACAAGGACGAGTTATACCATGACCTGCAACAGACTCTTTTCTGAACGATTTATACCATGATCTGCAACACAGGCTCTTTTATGAACGATTTATACCATGACCTACAACACAGATTCAGTGAAGGGACGATTTAAACCATCACCTGCAACACAGATTCAATAAAAGGACGATTTATACCATGACCTGCAATACAGATTCAATAAAAGGACGATTTATACCATGACCTGCAACACAGATTCAATAAAAGGACGATTTATATCATGACCTGCAATACAGATTCAATAAAAGGACGATTTAAACCATCACCTGCAACACAGACTCATTGATCCTAATGCCAGAAATCGTGGTGTGAAAACAAAGGTCTGAAAATAAACTCCTGAGACTGAAAAAAAAAGTCGCCAATGGTCCAGAAAACCGTAAACTGACTAAAGAAAACTTGGCTGCCACGACATTCCCAAAAGTCCAATGTGAAGGAAGGTGAGAGACAACATGGGACTGAAGAAGAGAGTAGCTGTGTTAAAGAAGTTTGTATTCGAAAATGCTCACCAGGGAGAGAGAGATTAACCCATGAGGGAAGGGGAGGGGGAAGGGAGGGATGGGGAGTGGAAGGGAAGGGAGGGGAGGAGACGGGAGGGGAGGGGAAGAATACTGTTAGAAGGACGAATGTTGGGGGTTGGGGACATTCCATTTTGCAGAAGTTAGTTATCAGAGCACAAGAAAGTGTTCATCTGGGGAACAAGAAACATCCTGAGGAATTTTCAGAGCCAGGGTACAGAAGGGTGAGTGTGTGTGTGTGTGTGTAGCAGGGTCCTCAGAGGTAGGGTACAGAAGGGTGAGTGTGTGTGTGTGTGTGTGGCAGGGTCCTCAGAGGTAGGGTACAGAAGGGTGAGTGTGTGTGTGTGTGTGTGTTGCAGGGCCTCAGAGTAGGTACAGGAAGGGTGAGTGTGTGTGTGTGTGTGTGTGTGTGTGGGGTCCTCAGAGGTAGGGTACAGAAGGGTGAGTGTGTGTGTGTGACAGGGGTCCTCAGAGGTAGGGTACAGAAGGGTGAGTGTGTGTGTGTGTGTGCAGGGTCCCAGAGGTAGGGTACAGAAGGGTGAGTGTGTGTGTGTGTGTGTGTGTTGCAGGGTCCTCCAGAGGTAGGGTACAGAAGGGTGAGTGTGTGTGTGTGTGTGTGTGTGTGTGTGTGCAGGGTCCTCAGAGGTAGGGTACAGAAGGGTGAGTGTGTGTGTGTGTGTGTGTGTGTGTGTGTAGCAGGGTCCTCAGAGGTAGGGTACAGAAGGGTGAGTGTGTGTGTGTGTGTGTGTGTGTGTGTGTGTGGGGTCCTCAGAGGGTCAGAGGGTGAGTGTGTGTGTGTGTGTGTGTGGTCCTCAGAGGTCGGACAGAGGTGTGTGTGTGTGTGTGTGTGTGTGTGTAGCAGGGTCCTCAGAGGTAGGGCAGAAGGGTGAGGGTGTGTGTGTGTGTGTGTGTGTGTGTGTGTGTGTGTGTGTGTGTGTGTGTGTGTGTGTGTGGCAGGGTCCTCAGAGGTAGGGTACAGAAGGGTGAGTGTGTGTGTGTGTGTGTGTGGCAGGGTCCTCAGAGGTAGGGTACAAAATGTGTTCATCAAAATAAATAATAAAAGTTCCTCTCTAACACACACACACACACACACACACACACACCAAACCACACACACACACACACCAAGAACAAAGAACATCCTCGAGTGAAGAACAAACATATAGTAAACGGTTTAATGCGGCAGATACAACCACACCAGAGATCCGTCGATGGTTCAGTAAGTTAAATTTGGCCTAGAAGACTGAACCTGGATGTTACACCCAAAATCAAGAGTGGCACCTCCAGGGACCTCAAAAGACCTACGGGGGGTCCTGATGTGTCGGTGCTGTACTCGGCCGGACCAACACGACCACTGAGGACTAAAGACTCTTGTGGTTTGTCTATTAATAAAGTGGACAAAAAGTGTTTTGTGGT